AAAATACACATATTTCCAAACAGAAAACCAAAATTTACTTTCCTTACTAAAATAACTACCAAAGGACACCATTAAAGGAAGGAGAAAATCCAATTCATGGGATGCAATAAGCAGTGATCAGCAATTTTTTGTCAAAATCACTAAGCATTGACTATGAAATAAAATGAGAGGCTACACTGGAAGGAACTTTTTAAAAGCTAGAACTAAAATACTACACAATAATAATATGAAATATGGCCATATGGCACTTGAATTCAGGCATTCTAAGGCCATATATTTATTGTTCAGGAAGATGAAAGAGCTGTCCATTAAAAAGGCAAAAGATTTACACAATCTGAAGAAAAACCAGAATATTAAGAACTGTTAATTAAAGACAGCCTCTGTTAAATTCTATAAATTCAGAGGGATGTCCTTAAAAGGACTCACTGCTCACCACAATTCCTCCTAACATAACTTCTCTATTCTTGAGTTTTTACTGAACATAAGCTGCTAATTGATGGGTCAATCAAGTAGCATTTGAAGTTCTCATGAGTGTCATATTCTGTGCTGTAATTCATATTAGAGAAAATCAATCTGTTGAATTTTTATTCAACTGATATATGGCAACATGTCATGTTTTGGGGCCCTATTCTCTTCCTTTTAGAACTTTGTAGCCATTACTGCAATATTTTCTGTCATTAAAAATTGCCATGATAAAGTACAAGGAGAACTTCATTCTCTCCCCTTTTTAATTTAATTACTTTTTTGCCTTGATGCTTAAATAACTCTTCCTTTACCTCTGAATCTCATATCATTTTTGATATTGAATATTTCACATAAAATTTTCCTATATTAAAGTGTGATTTTTTCCAACAATATTTTTTCTTTTGCTTCAGGAAAATTTTCTTGTATTAGGTCTATGAATATATTTCTATTTCCTGTCTCCATATTTCAGATATCAATTATACTTATGCTGGATTATGTTTTTCTTTTGTCAATTTTGTTAGTTTCTCTAATTATTTTAATTTTCTTTCATTTTTATTTACATAATGATTTCCCCCAATTTATTACTGGCCCTAAAATCTTTATATGAAATCCCTGGAGCCAGATATATTTTGGAATTTAAAATCATGTCATAGTTTAGAAATAGGGTATATTCCATATGCTGCATAATATTCCCAGGGGAGTCTGGGAAAAGTCTTAGTGTGTTTTCAATGAAAACTGTGAATATGAACATTCAAGTAAGTCGAACACACAAAGAGTATAAATAACCTCACATCTGTTCAAGACACATTACCAAAAGAAAAAAATTCTGTTTTTAATAGTTATTATAATTATTTATCTTTGGAGTTTCTGGCTAGTGAGAATTTGTACTCAGTTATGCATGTTGTGCTCCTTACTGTTTATAAATGTTTTAATTGGTCCTGTAAAGATGTTTCTGTGAGCCTTGATTTGTTACCTTAGACCTGCAATGTCTTGTCTTACCTCATTCTCTTTTTTACTATTTGTTCATTCTCTCTCTCCCCTTCCTTGTTCCCTCTCTCCTTCCCACATTCCCTCTTTCTTGTTAACAGTTTTATTGAGACATAATCCATATACCATTAAAATTAACTCATTTATGTGTACCATTCAATAGCTTTTACTATATTTAGAGTTGTGCAACCATTATCACAGTCAATTTTAGGTTTCTATCATTCTAAAATGAAAGGCCTTATCCATTAGCAGTCACTCCCCATTCCCCCTCCAACTGCTCCCACTCTATGCAAACAATAGTCTATTTTTTGTCTGTACAGATTAGAATATTCTGGACAGAGCATATCAATGGAATTGTATAGTATGTAGTCTTTTGAGACTGGCTTCTTTCATTTAACATGCTTTCATGATT